TCTTATTTATTCCCTCCCCTGTTCATTGTGAGCCGCCCGGAGTCCTTCGGGAGTGGGCGGCATACAAAACCAATAAACCTAACCTAAGGTTCCCTACTGCTGTGGGTGCCAAGGGCCCAAGACCCACCTGATGGCAGCAGGAGTTGGCGTTGGGCTTTGCCGGCCCTAACAGAGTCATCCCTGGGGGGAGGGGGGTGTCCAGAAGGCATCCATCAAAGGGAGCCCCGTCTTTCCCCATCGTTCCTCATGCTGGTTTTCTGTACGTGGGAAATGGGGGAGGGAGAAACGTGTCTGTTTTGCAACTTCGACTCTCTGGCACCGGGAAGCCTCTCTTGCTTGGAGGGTGCAGAAAGGCCGTCCTGCTCTGAGCCAGTCTGGGGCGGCTGAGACAGTTCGGCCTTTACCCGCTGGGTGTCGGTGAGGTGCTGCTGGGCTTCAGTGCTGTGCTGGGGTGACGGGGCACCTCTCTCCTTTTGCAGGCACACCAGGCACCAGCTGCTGCTCAAGGGATGCCTCTGTGGCTGCTCCTGGTCTCCCTGTGCCTCTCTTCTGCTCCCGGAGTCCCTGCCATCTACCAGAGGCCGAGTGGGACTCAGCCAGGTATGCCATGAATGCCCCTCCTTGGCCCAGCTGCCCCCGGTGGTGCCTGCCCCAGAACGCTCACCCCTGCTTGCAATGTGGCCGGGGCCCCTCCTCCCCGGAAGCCCCTCGTCCCCCTTCTTGTTCCCGGCTTGTACTGGTGCCCAGGCCGTTTCCTCAGGGCCGCCCAGTGGCTTGTTGCAGATGCCAATGTCCGTGCCCTCTTCCCTGCCAGGGCAAACTGAATTAGATGGATGAATCTGCAGTCCAAGGGAGCTTCCCCTCCTTGCTGTTGGCCTCATGGCTGCATGAGCATCTCTGTTCCCCCCACAGCAACTCCTGCCCCCTTGCAGTACTTGCTGGAGCCCACAAACAAGATAGTGCAGGCCCGGCGGGGAGCCTCGGTCACCCTGCCTTGCATCCTGTGGGTCGTGCCCCAAAACTACAAGATCAGGTGGAGCAAGGTGGAGCCAACAGAGTACCTGGAAGTTGCCATCCTAATCAGCAATGGGGTCCATCACAAAACCTACGGCCCGCTGGGCAGCCGTTCTCACCTGAAACGCAGCCACCGCTATGACGCATCGCTGACCATCTCCAACCTGACCTTGGACGACGAGGGCCGCTATCGCTGCCAGCTTGTCAATGGCCTGGAGGACGAAAGTGTCTCCCTTGTCTTGCACCTAGAAGGTAGGAGGGGCCCCCAGGGAAGGCACAGGGCCCCCCACCCCAACTGCGTCCCATCCACCCAGGGAAGCAGATAGAAGGAGCCTTTCGGCAGAGGGAGCCCATTGTGCCGCATCTCCCGTCCCTTGAGCAGGGCGACCGTCCGTGGCACAGCCTCCTCCGCCTCCTCTGAACGGTGGGACTGTCGAAAGGGGGACTGTCACCCTGCTTTGTGGGAGGGGCTTCTCTCCCAGAGGCCAAGGTTCTCGGTCGCTGGGGGTGCAAAGCAGACAAGCTGCAGACCCTTAACCGGGGCCTTTGCAAGCAGCCCCTGCGGGTAACGACGGCCCTGGCCTTTTGTGGTGAGGATGGGGAGTGTATCTGCGCGGGCTGCCCTGCCTCTGTCCGCTGCCCCCTGCTGGCCTCTCAAGGTCTTGCCCCTTTTCCTCCAGGGGTCGTCTTCCCCTACCAAACCAGCCAGGGGCGCTATCAGTTCAACTACTTTGGCGCCCAGAAAGCTTGCCAAGAACAAGATGCCCGGCTGGCCACCTACCAGCAGCTTTACCAAGGTAAGCAGTTTGGGCCGTGCGCAGGAAATGATGGGAGACTCGAGAGGTTCTTTTATTCCCACTCACAGCGAAAATCTATCTATGTGGGGGCTGAAAGTCAACACCAACCTGATGGCGCATAATCAGTCCATCGCTCCCCCTCCCCAAAAGCCCTTCCGAGGCAAAGCTGAAAGGTGACGCAACTGGAACATCTGTTTCCTCACTGCGTCGTCATCTGGGAGGTGATGAGGCAGTAAGAAATAATTGGCCAAGTTTCCGAACCAAAGATAAGTGCACTTGTAACCTTCCCATCATAATTTCATAATTCAGTGAATTATTAGCATAGCAAATAAAGGTTGTAAGGATCCCTGGAGATCATGTAATCCAGCCTCCTGCCCACTACTGAAAAGTGCCACTTATGGCACCCCCATCAGATGAGCCCCCGGCCTCTCAAACACAGAAGCCGCGGAGAGCCCCCTGCTTCCTGAGGCCCCCGGGGGGGGGGGCAGGTCTTCCTAGGAGGAAATGCCTCCTGAGGCCCAGTCTCTTATGGCTTCCACCCAGGCAGCCTCATCCTCCCCATGGATCCTGCCCATGTTCTACCCTTCAGCTGTGGCAGCTACGTGGTCTCTCTCTGTGGGCATCTTCTCCATACCAAACACCGCCCAACTGGAGCCCAAGCTCTGGCCATCAAGACCACTCAGGCAATGAACGCCCGTCCCCCCCCCCACCAGGCATTCCAGTTATTTGGGTTGCCATCCTCCTTTCTATGCCCTGCAATTCTCAGGAATGAAGGGCAGCTGGGTGGGGGGGGGGGGGGGGGGCATTGGTTGAGCTTAAGGATTCCATCCGGCTCCTCCCCTCCCCTCCCCTTTCTTCAGTACATGGACACTGTGGCCTCTTGTGCTCATGGTCAACTACTGTCCTGGAAGTGGGGAGGGGGAGGGGGGGAGGAAGGGAGGGACCTGGATGGAGAGGCTTGGGAAAAGGTGACGTCAGCAGAAGGTAAAGAACGCTTATGTGCTTCTTAATGGTGGGGGAGATCTTTGGACCAACCCCTTCTTTATTCCTCCAGAGAGCAGGGTGGGAGGTTGTGCTTGTTCACCCCAGGATGGCAAATAAAATTGGGGGGGGCTTATATAATCCCTCCACACCCTTTCAGTC